AGTATTAGATAAATTTCAGTAAATGTGTTCAATACTTTTTCCCTGTGCCATTCCACATTATTACAAATAACTTCATTTGATTTCCTTGCATGTATGGATCACTTGGGTTGTTACCGACATCTGGTGAAAATTTCATGTCATTAGCACCTCTAGTAATATATTTACTGAGAAAAATGGTGACATGTTCAATACTTATTTTACCTGCTGTATCTAGTCATTACTAAGACTGATGGTTTGGAGCAGGGCAGCATCTTTTTGAAACCTGAGGGATGTTCAGGTTAATACTRATAACAAGAAAGGAAACTTCAGGCAGTTTTTCATTAGAGGAAGTGAAACACTGGAACACATTCTCAGCAGCTGTTCCAAAGCACTAAGTGAGGGCTGTTATATGTGGCGACGGGGCCACGTGTTAAAGGTGAAAGCGGAGTCCATCTGTTGTRCTGCTGATTGGAGCAAACATCTTAAACGATCAAAACACCAGATTACACTCGTTCCAGCAGTTTAATTKAACAGGATGTCCTGGGAACAGTGGGTGAGTGGCAAATAAAGGTGGATCTAGCAAACGACTCAGATTTCCAGACATCACAAAAACCAGCCACAGACTGAATATTGTACTGTTGTTGGAAAAATCCTCACATAAGTCACATTAATACTAAAATTGCGAAATCAATTGCAGTTTTTTATGAGGCTAAGGAAGTATTTAACGATGATGCATTGCTCTTATTATATAATGTCATTATTGTACCTCATTTAACTTACTGCATTGAAGTTTGGGTAAAAGCATGTAGAACATTTACATACCTCATTTTTGTTTAGCAAAAACAGAGCCGTAAGGATTTTGACAGGAAAGCGTTGTTGTCATCCATCTAATGTTTTGTTTAATCAGTTGAGATTATAGAAGTTTTATGATCTGGTTGATTATAAAATTCTGTTGATGATGTATAAAGCTCATAACAATGCAATACAATTTTATTTTACTAAGAGGATAAGTGCTTATAACTTGAAAGGATTTGAGATGTTTGTTTTACCAAAAACTAGAACAAGCTTGAAAGAGAGATGTACTTCAATTCAGGGTATCAAATTGTGGAACAGTTTACCAAAGGACTTCAAAACTACTGGTACAATTCTTTCATTTAGAAGGGTCAAAACTTTGTTTTTGAAAAGTTATGGGCAGTCTATGTTTGGATAATTTACTTTTGTTTTGTTTTCTTGGCTGTTCATTGGAATGAAAAATTGTAGTTTTTTGTTGCTATATATGTTGTTCTATTTATGTAAGTATGTATATGTGTGTGTTTGTATGTATGTATGTATCTATGTATGTATGTATGTATGTATGTATGTATGTATGTATGTATGTATGTAT